AGTATCATCTTAATTCAAATATTTGTAAGCAGAAAAGAGATGCTCATTGTTATTCACAATGCCTTTCCTATCCCATCTGGCATAAGCAATTTCCTTTTGTTTGCCTTTAAACTGTGATATAAAGAAATTAATTTTACCCTACAGGCATTCACTATGAATTTCACAACTTCTATTCTGGTTATTTCTGAATTTCATCATCAGTAACACATGTTCTTACATGGGGAATTGTGCTTGTCAATTTCTCTAGTTTAGTCCATCAGATTTTTTTATCAGGTCTTGCCACTAACAAAATTCTTTGTTTTCTTTCCAAAATTGTCCACAGCTTTTTTAATTACTTTATCACAATAGCACACTTACATTGGTGTCTGTTTATTAATTGGAAAATTACCTTTTCAAATTAGTTTATAATGAGAATGACTACTTGCACTGTCATTTACAAGTGGTGGTTTAAAACATCATTTGGGTTAAATGTAGTTAATAACTAAACATACAAATCTGTACTTTGTAATTAATCATTCTTGCAGAATTTTCTCTATGATTTCAATAAATGACTAGAAAATCTGTTTATGCCTCAAAAGAGAAAAATACTATCACCTTTTAAAATGCTATCACATTCTTTCTTGATTCACTTACCTATGTTGGACTCAGATTTGTCACCAGGGATATAAATATTAACAAGGCACAACTCCTGACTTCAAAGAGATCGTGTAAAATAATTGTGATATTAATACATAACAATTGTTCAACATTTTCTTTATAGTAAGTAGACTTCCAGAATATTTTATAATACACATAAATATTTTCTCATTTAGATCTTATATTGAGCCAAGGAGGAAAATACATTGTAAGTGCAAGTATAGTACTTGTAGGTGCAATCACCTACTATAGGTAAAAGTGAAAGACACGGTCTGCCTGTGCTAGACCATTGCTGCTCAACAAAGCCTGATCTGAATATTAATGAAAGAAGACTGCATCCCAAGCTAGAGCCATGACCACTCAAATTCTCACCACAGCATCTTCTAGGAAAATGCTCAGGATATCATTTTCAGACTTTGATTCCAATAAACACATCTTTTTGAGCTCAAACTCTGTCCCAGACACTGAACTAGGAGATGGAGATAAATGGAGGATTAAAGTGGGATGTTTGACCTCAGAAATCTAAGGGAGAGTGCACAATAAACTCCAGCTGATGAGGATGAACAGCAATATAGAAATGTAGTTAAAGACAACATGGCAAACTTTTCTAGTGGAAATATCTAAAGCCTCAGTATTCTCAGATATACAAAAATGCTCTTCCTATCTTGGCAGTGATAGAGAAATCGAATTATAAGTCATAACATTAGAATATTTAATCACATTGCTTCTCTGGTGTGAGAAACCAAAAGGGTAAATGAGGACCGAAATGTATAATAGATATTGATAAATAAGAAGAAAATGTTCAAACGGAAAGGGCAACAAGGAAGGGGAAGGGGGAAAGAAAGGAATGCAAAGGACAAAGGATAGAAGGGAAAATGGAAACAAAGTTTTTGTAAATAAGGAGGGCAGAGGAGTTGAAAGGTGGGGAGAGGATTGGGGAAAAAGAAGAATAAAGATATATTATGTAAAGGCACACATTCTCTATGATAAGTGTGATCATTGTATATATCAAAAGAGTACAATAAAATTATTTTCAAAAAATTAGAATACTAAAAATAACTCCTCTAAAAGTGTAAATAAGGTTCTAATGGTATAATTGATATGTAAAACAGGAAGAAAATAGCTAAAGGGGAAATGGGAAGGGGAGGGAAAAGGAAATAAGGAAAAAGAAAAGATGTGAAAAAAGGAAAAAATGGAAACAAAGTCTTTATAAACAGGATAGGGTGAAGGGGGTGAAAGGAGGGCAGGAAGATGAGGAAAAAATAAGAACCAAGACATCATGTAATGGTACAAGATCCCAATGATAAATGCAAATATATTGTTTGCTTTAAAAGTACCAATAAACTTAATGGGAAAATATAACTCCTAAAAATATTTACCAAAAATAGAATTAGAGAAACATCTATCAAAAGCACCTTAGATTTAAAGCTTTATTGAGATTCATTAGGTACAAGCCATGGTCTCCAGCAACCAGTTTTGTTAGACTAAATTTCCTCATCTTGAAAAAACAGTAATAATGACATCTATTTTTCATGTGTTTGAATGAGATAATGTATTCTAAGTCGTTGGCATAGTGTCTTCTATATATTATTAAAGTAGAATGTACACATATATACATGGATTTAGAATTTAAATTTGCAAGACATGCATTTTACTTTTGAAAAATATCAGATGTCAGACTGGTTTGACAATTATTTTAGATGAATACATACAATACTAATGTGTAGGGAAAGGAATAGAACATCAGTAATTCTACCTTGCATTTTAGGATTGAAATATCAAATAATGTTGCTACATTGGGTAATGATGAAAATAAATACCATGGAGTTGTTATGAATTATTCAAGCTCACATATGCAACATAAAGCTATGTTTACATGAGCTTGACCACAAATTGTCAAATGCTAATAGGAGTGGATTATAGTTATTCTGCAGATATCTTCAGGGTGCTGTATTGTGGGTTTTTAACAGCAGGTTTCTGTTTTTGAATCTTTAATGTCTTAGAATATTTACTGTCTAAATAGCAGGTGCTCAGTAAGAGCTCATAAAATAAAAATTGATAATTTTTACCCATGTAAGCATTGTAAATTTTACTTTTTTGATATGTACACTTAGGACATAGTTTAAATTTCTAAGTACAACATTATAATGAAAATTACCAAGAAAATCACACAACTGGGGAAATTGATGTCATTAGTGTCACTTTAAATCATGAGCACTCCCAGCATCAGCCTATAATATACATTCACTAAACATGCTATAATTCCGCAACATTTCTCCAACAAGTTTATTTTTTATTCTTTTCTCATACACTCATTTGTATCGCTTTTCATACCTGTCAACCACTTTATGATGATGATTTACTTCCCATTTCACAGATAAATCATAAGTCATAGCATAGAGAGTCCTTGTTCTTTCTATCACCCAACGAAGAAACCTTCCTGACTCTGAACCCACCTTCTCCTGTCCTTCAGAAGCTCTAGGGAAGGTTTCTCCCTCCCAACATTCAACTGAGGAAATTTCTTTGTGAGTTTTCCATCTCAGTCTGTCATACACTTTGTCAAATGTATTTTTCTGATTATTCTTCCCTTTCTTTATCTTCGGTTTTTCCTTCTCTACTGATCTTTTTCCACTGGCAGGCGAACACTGTCATAACCCATCTTAAACAATATTTTCTGACCTCCTCTTTTCCTATTCCCCATTTCTTTGTTCTCTTTTCTGGCCAAGCTTATTTCAAGAGTTTGAACTCACTAGCTCCATACTTTTTCTCCCAGCTATTCACTCTTCAATTCTGCTTGCCCCCCACCCTGATTGTTTCTCTAAAACCGTTCTCATAAAGTCTCCAATGATCTCCACAGTATCTGCTCTCACTGGACCTTCAACAGGCACTATTGCTTCATGAAATATTCTTCTTTCTTGGCATCTAAAATACCACTATCTTAATTTTTCTCCTTCTGCATAGTCAGATCTCTTTTGTCTTTTTCCATTGTATCATCTTCTTGTCTTTCTACACTCTTTCACTAGATGGTCTCATCTACTTCCATGACTTCAAACATGATATATGTGTCAACATTTCCCTAGTGTATGTCTTCAGACTAAATCTTTTTAGATGTGATAATTAAGTTTAACTGTGTCAACTTGATTGGCTTGGAGCCACCCAGGGAATTAGTGAAGCATACTTCTGAGTGGGTCATGAAGGAGTGACTTAGGTTCTTTATCTGGTCGCTTGCCCTTGTCTCCTTCTGTGGCACTGTCTTCTGGCCCTGCCTCCTGTCTACCAAGAACTAAATATCTTTGCTTCATCAGGCCCTTCCATAATGCTCCTGAATTAAAGACAGCCAACCAGGGACTCAATCCTCTGAAATTGTAACCTTTACTCCTTTAAGTAGAGGGTGTCAGGTAATTTTTCCCAGTATTCAGAAAGCTGACTAATACATCGTCTTTGGCTCCCTTATATTTAAATCCATTTAATATACAAAACATTCTATATACTTTTCCCTTTTATCCATCTTGATTCAATAAGTGGTACAACCATTTATGCAAGTCCTCAAGCCATAAATCTAAATATCATTTACTATAGTACTTGTTTCTTGTTCATCTTTCATACTCTGCAAATATTGTCACCTACAACTTGTGAATTAGTCTCCTCTCTTTCTTCCCTACCACCACCCTACACTATACCACTCTTAAACTCTTGTCTGAATACCTAAAATAATCCACTAGGACACCAAACTTTCTTATTTCTCCCCTTATCTCCAAAGCATTCTTTACAATTAGCCAGTAATCTTTTGTAAAAACTCAGATTATAAGACTCTTCTGTTTGAAACTCTTCAATGTAATCCCATTCCATACAGGATGAATAGAGTGTGCTTGATGACATACAAAGAGTATCAGAGTCTTGTTTACATCTCTTAGCTCATCTTCAGCTATTCCCTACCTTGCTCACAAACTCCTGAAGCTACAAAACTCATTCCCTTTAGAGGGTCTTTCATTTTCTGTACATTTCTCTTCCTCTTGCTCTTTATGTGGTTGATGTTTCACTTCTCAATTACAGCTTTCTCAGAGAGGAATTATAACATTAACTGACCATCTTATTAAGCAACATTGCTCACTTTCCATTCATAAAACCACCCTTCTAGCTCCTTTTTCACTGTTTATATTTGTGATCAAGTCTATCAATTGATTTTCATTTTGCCAATCCAATGGTCACTTATTAAATTTTTTTTTTTTTTTTTTTTTGAACCGGGGATTGAACTCGGGTCCTTGTGCTTGCAAGGCAGGCCACCGAACCGCTGGGCTAAATCCCCTTAAATTTTTTTCTAGTTCATACTATTAGTAGAATTTGACATCACTTACCATATCATCTTCCTTGAAATATCTTGCTTATTCCCAGGCAGTGGTATACTGGAGCCCACTTTGCAAAAGCCAGTAGTTAATTTTTTGAAATTTTGCAACCTGTTATTGAGTAAATAGTAGCTTTAAATTGACACAGTAAAAATATTTGCATCAAAAAAATGGCAGGCACTACAAATCAAGGATTTTAGTTTTAAAGAGTTATTTGTTAAACATTTATCATTATATCATTGACTCAGAACATTTCTTTTTCAGTTTTCCTAACTTGCAAAAACATCTTTTTTATCTTTCAACCTTGAAATACCTCAAGTTTCTTAATACTTAGGCCTTTTATTTGCAATCTATACTTCTGGGAATCTCATCCAGGTCCAAGGTTTTTAATACCATTTACCTTTTCATGAATTTAGAATCTTTATCTCTAGTCTCAACTTCTCTATCAAATTTCAAATTCCATCTATTCAATTTCCATGTGAACATCTTCACTCCAATAAGAATCTGAACATCTAAAATTTAATATTCTGACACTGAATATTTGGCTTCATATCCACCTACAAATAGGCATTTCCAAGAGTCCCTGTGCTAACAAAATCTTGGAGTTTTTTTTTAATTCTTCTTTTTTTTTTTTTTTTTTTTTTTTTTTTTTTTTTTGCTTACATAGCTCATCTCCAATCCATTAGCAAATCCTTTTTATTGTACTGAAAAATATTTGTTGAATCTTACAATTTATCAACCTCTCCAGTGGCACATCCCTATTTCAAAGTATATAACCCTTGCTTCCCAAAAATCTATTCTTCACTCATCATCACTAAGGTGCTGGCACACACCTATGATCCCTGCTACTTGGGAGGCTGAGGCATGAGGATCACAGTTTAAAGCCAGCCTGAGACCCTGTCTCAAAATAAAATTTTAATAAAAGGGCTGGAGCTGCAGCTCAGTAGTGGTGCATTTGCCTAGCAGGCATGGGGCCCTGGGATTAACACCCACCACCACCAAAAAAAAAAAAAGTCATGCTTGTCTGCTTCACTCAGAGTGAAATCCTTGATCATTAAGACCCAGAAATCTATCCATCTGGTATCTGGTTACTTGTCTAATGCCATTACCCTTCATTGTTCTCTGCATTCACTGGGTGCTAGACACATTGGCCTCACTGTTGCTGCTGTGGGTTGCAAGAGCCCTCCTATAAGAGCCTTTACACCTGCTTACCCTTATACTAGGACATTTTTGCTTGAATATCTGGAAGATTTGTTTCCTTCAGCTTTTTTGCTCAAGTGTCTCCTTATTGGAAGAGTCTTCCCTGATCACTAACATACCTTTATTTTTTCTTCTGTACCATTCAATCAAAATATGCCATAATAACATATTTATTTGTTTGCTGTGATTTTCTCCATTTGTTCCAAGAAAATGAGGACTTAGACTGGTTAGTTTACTAAGTCCTCAACTCTTAGAACATTCTGACACTAATTATTTGTTCATTAGATAGTAAATTGAAATTTTGTTTACTTCTACTGATGTCTTACTTACTTTGCTCACTGCTAAGACAAAATAGCTGACACACAAAGTTAAAGGAGGAAAAGTTTAGTGTAGTTCACAGTTTGGAGAGGTTTCAGTTTGTAGTTGGCTGACTCCAAGGTAAGGTGGAATGGCAGAGGGGCACTGAAGAGGAGAAACAATTAATGGCAGGCAGAAGGCAAAAGGCAGCAAGTAATCCTCTTTCTGTCCCTTATGTTTTATCCAAATGACCCACCCTTAGGGAGGGTAGCACTGACACCCTCAGTCTGAGCATCACACCATGGATCAATCCCAGCATCACATCCTTGATCCCAGCATCATGCACCCTAGATCCAGCCACCCCTGAAAAAGCTTCACCTATGACCACATGAGGCTTTGGGGGCATGCCAACTGAGCCATACCAACTGAGTTAAAAGACCCATGAGAGCCTACCAAAGGATTATAGATAATCAAATTATCACAAAGGATGGTGAAATCCTTACTCTCCCTCCTTGATATTCCCTCAAATTTTCTCAACAGAACTAAAAACATGTCAAAACTGAATTTACCATCCTACCCTCTAAGTTTTTCTAACTTCACTATTTCCACTAGTGCAATATTATTCTGTCATATAAATTTAAATATGTAAGCCTCCTTTGTTCATCTATCTTACATCAACAGATGCCAAATTTCAAATCTATTTCTATAAAATCTCTTTATCTTTCTTCCTATTCCCACCCCAGATATTTTTTATAACATTACTAACCACTCTAAATCATAGCTCTAAGACTCTGATCATTAAAAATCTAACTATGCCTGTCTAGCTATAGCCACATAATTTATTGTCTAAACAGGAACACTTTTGAAAACAAATGGGCCACCATTATTAATTACATTGGGACAGTAAGTATGACTAAAGTTTTCTAGACAAGCCAGAATGCATGGGAATTCTAACTTTCACAAGGATTGTTGATTAACTACTACTTTCTGAATGAAAACTTTTCCCCCCAGCACTTGGTTCTTTTCAGCATGATTTAGTGACATGAATTCCTTTAATCAGTATGGACACACTATCCTTTTTCCCAGTAACTGATTGAGGAAGGAGCATGTGACCAAAGTCTGGCCTGCAGAATGTGAGAGGTAGCCTGCTTCAAGGAAAGAAGTTCACAAAAAAAAGTTTCTGTACATATATGAAAATAGATCTTATTATTCCACCAGTCCATGTGTTGTCTGCATTTGATGGCTCAAACTTCAGTAGCCAATTTGCCATCATGAGGTGAGCTAGCAGAGGGCAAAGCCGATGCCTTAATTTTAGTAGAAACAATAATAATCAAAAGAAAAGCAATTGGTTCCTTGGTTATATCATTATAATACTAAGTTAAGCAAATTTGAGGGTATTCCACATCCAAAATCAAGATACCTTCTGTTGATAAAATAATATATTTTCCTTATTGTTTAAATGAACTGAAAATATTGAAAAATATTTTCAACTTTTTGAAATATTTTCAGTTGAAAAATATTGAAAAATAAATGAATTAAAATATTAAATGAATTGAAAATATTCCTGCTGAAAATATTCCTAATCAATGCTAACTAAATATAACCCCCCTCATATTCATCTTTCCCTTTATCTAAAACCTTCTACATGCTTCATTTCTGAACCAAACATAATTTGTTTTAAAATGTTCTTTTATTTTCCATGACAACACTTTTTGTCAGGACAACCTTTATCTCAGAAATACCATCTGCTGAAGGTTTATTGATACCTGAAACAGAGGTTAACTTTCTCTCTATGAAAGGTATGCTGCAATAAATTCACATTTTTTCTCATGACATAGATTTGACCCATTCTATACTTTTATTTACAATTCCAAATCTCCTCTTATAGTTACTCTTCCTGGTTTGCTCTAAACACCCAAGACAGAATGTTTTACATTCAATAAATGATTATTAAATTGATATTTTGAAACTATCATACAACCAACAGTTATTAGTGATTAAGTGATATTTTGCTACAATTTTAAAATATTACATTTAGAAGAATTATTTTGCTAACCTTAAACACTCTTTTAAAATATAAAGCAGAATAGAATATATGAGTATCCAATGATTAACACATTTTTAGTTGGCAAACATGTGCTTTAAATAATATGATACTACTTTTTACTCACATCTGCCCTAGGTAACTAGTTGGCCACAGCAATTTTGTTGGCAGTGCATTTCTACTATAGCAGACATGTTAAAGAGATAATAGGAAACTTTCCATATAAGGTATCAAATTCAAAACTTCATTATATATTTAATTAAAAGAAATAGGAGAAAGATAAAAACAACTATCAATTTATGGTTATACTCTTACTCAGATAAAATGCCTCTGTTTAAGCATGATAGTATTTCAATCTGATGTGAAATTCTACTCTGCCTGTTCCAGTTCCTTTCTTTAAGGAATCAGATTTAGCAGGAGGGGGAAAGGCATAGAGAGTCAGGAAAGGACTTACACTGAGTGGCTAACATGACGGATATCATACTCAGAGCTTTGCATAACATTAACTTCAGAAATCTCAAGGAAGGAATTTATATCTCCAATTTACAGTTTTCCAAGAATTCAGAGGCACAGAGTAATGCTCACTCAGTTATTACATGACAAATCCAAATGTGAACCCAGGTAATCAGTTAACTAAATGCAGGCCACCTTCACCGAAATACATAGTCTTACTATTTGGGGTTAAGGGTCAAAAGTTATGTTTAGTAATATGGAATTTTAGGATATAGATTAAGGAACTGACAAGTCAGTAAAAGAGGCAAATGCCCACAAATCATATAATACAATGAATACATCTAATAAGACAACAAGAAGCTCCAAAATGAAAGTCTGAATTTAGATTCTCCTAAAGGACCTGGGTGTGGATAGCTTATTTACAAAGTGAATAAAGCACAGCATGAGAGCAAAGAACAATACAGTGATGAGCAGAATACTAACAAACAGTGCATCAACATAGGGAAGCTGCTCATTAGGAGTGGTCTGGGGTGCACTTCAACCTTTCTCCACCAGGGAATGTAGAAAGAGGATACTTGTTTACCCACTCCCGTTTCTCTTTGTGTAAGGGTTATTTCTAGGGATGATGTTCAACCTTGGTATGTGGAAGCTTCCCTGCTGGTCAAGCATTGCTTTGGGGAAAGTCCAGAGGCAGAGAAGCAGAGATGCAAGCACTTTCTATGAGAAGCAGTCAGACTGCACATGAATGTGCTTGACACCTGTCCATAACTCAGGTAAAATGACATGACACAATCAGCTATGCATGGGAATTGTAAAGGTGGAAATATGTAAAGGATATTGAAGGGGCAGAGCAGGAAACAGGAGAGAGAGAGGGAGAGAGAGAGAGAGAGAGAGAGAGAGAGAGAGAGAGCAGACACACAGACCAAAAGTAGACTTGACTTTTACTCAATTTCACCCTGACCACCCGATTTAAAATTGCCACCCTTCTGTGTCACCATCCCTCACTACAATCCTGAGCCCTCCTCCTTATGAGATCTTACTTGTTTTTTGTAGGAATTTCTATCACACAATATAATTTCATTTGTAGTACTTATTGTTTACTGCCTACATTACCTAC